TTTTTAATTACCTGCTTGGTAGCTAAAGTCTCCATTTCTAAACGCCTTTTATTGAATTGGAGTTCTAGTTCAAGGTTTTTCTTTGCCTTCTCCAGCTCCTGTATTTTAGTTGTGGCTTTTTGGTTATTCAGTTCTTGAATTTGCTTCTTACGAGATTCTTCTCTCTGATATCAAAAAAGAGAGGTGAGAGGAGGAATACTGCTTCTACAGCATTTCTGAGCCATCCCTCAGACAAATATTTGATACATTTAAAACTGGCAGCTTCTGTGACCTTCACAGCCCAACATCAGCAATGAAAGGTTATATCCCAGTTCACAAGCATCACATTAGGTCTTCTACATAATGTGCAAATTGCATTCTCTAGAATGTGAAATAAAATACACCATCATTATTGTTTTACCATGAGCTACTATTCTATGCCAACTTATGCATGTTGTAAATGTACTGAAAAAAAAACAAAGTAGCATGCAAGCTTTGAAAGAAATAAAAGTCGTTATTAATTAATCCAGTATAGTAATTTTGAAGGTAATAAGGTAAATTCTGTAGGTATTTGCTTACAATCCCTGGAGTAACTCTGAAGAGGATACCTACTTTACAAATTCTTGTGTTACTAAGGTTGACTTTTTTTTTAGGAAGAATGAGGTTCTGCATTCTCTCAGATACTGCTATAATACACAAGACAAAAAAAAAAAAACCCCGAACCAAAACAACAAACCAACCCCAACCACATACCAAACACAGACAACACATACTACAGTTTCAGGCTAATTTTATTGATATGTTTTATGTAATGATGCAATGGCAACTTACCACCTCTGCTTCCAGGGATTTTATTTTGCTTTCATAAGCTTCTTTTTGTGAGGTCAGTTCTTGTTGAACCATCTCTTTRGCTATTTGGACACTTTGCATCATTTCTTCCTTGGCTTTGAGTCGTGCCTCTTCAATTTCTGATTCAAGCCTGTAAGTATCATGCATTTAGATTGCTGCTGCTTATCTCTTATGAACTACGTAGCAATTATAATATTTAATTTCTGTCATGAAGGTTGAAATATTTTTTTTAACAAAACAACCTGCATATCTTACATGTTTTTGATTTCATGGAGAAAATGTACTCTTCCACCATGTAAATATGGAAGACATGCCAGAATTTTTAAGTCCACTCAATTKTCATTCTTATTTTATTACATAATTTTCACAAAATTAAAGACTACAATGGAAATTCACTAAATCACATTAAGATGCAAAATTTTTGATTAATAGTCTTGTGGTTTAATAACTCCCTATAATGAAGCACAAATAACACTTCACTGTCTCTCAAATTCTCCACCATCAGAGAAGAATAAGGTTATTACTTTGGGTTCTTCCCATTTTCCTAAGGCATTTAYTTTTCAGGCTTTAAATCTCTCCAAAGCATTAAAGGTCAATTTCAGAGCCATCATATGCTTGAAGAGCAACATAATTAAAGATATACTACTCTAAGGACCCCTGGAGCTCAGTGTTTCTTTAACAGTGGTCTACATTCTTGGTAACTGGATTAGTTTGTGATGACTGAACCTTAGAGGTACACACTCATTTCAGCTAAGTCTATTACTTCCATTGTAAATGGAGTTTTCCAACTTCCCCCTATTGTGAAATAGTTAATAATCTTCAGTTATTTCTAAAACTAGTTTCATGGTTCAATTAGCAACTGAGCTTATTTTCAGAACAAGAAGAATTGATGCTTACTGTGTTCGCTGTGCAAGAAGCAGTTCATTCTTTGCAAATTCAAAATCTTTTGGACCATCATGCAAGCATGTAGTCCCACAAGAAGGTGTTTTAACTTTCTGAACCTCTGCTGGATGATTAAACCTGAAATAATGGTCTCCCCCAAGTATCACTCGATCACCCTATTGGGGAAAAAAAAAATCTGCTAAAACTTTTAGACTTAGAAGCAAATTTTCAGTGCTTACAACAKGTAGGTGAAGCTAGAAATCAAAGAGACAAATGTTTATGGTTACAGAGCATACTAAAAAAAACCTGCAGTCTGAAGCTGAAATATTAATAAAGCTAAGAAACACATATCTGTATGAATTACTATTACCARATCAATTACTTACATGATGCAGAACTGTTGGGTCCAAAATGCATTTCCCATTTACGTATGTCTTGGCTTCTCCAAGTGGAATAATACTTACTTTGCCAACAGTATTTTTAATAACACTGAAAACAAGAAACATTTGCAGTATCAGTAGCTCATGACAATTCCAAGTAATGTTTTTTAAAAGAGTAAAATTCATGCTTCAGATACTGTTCTGTTATTGTTTTGCTGTGTACATTCCTCATACTATTTAGGTACAACATATATAATTAATCAATGTCAACCTATATTTTGGTAGAGAACCTATATTCATGTCTTAAGAATCCACTGCTTGAAAATTATTACAATACTTTGCCATCTGAGCATTTCTTTAATAATGTGTCTTTCACATTTTTAGTAACTGATTAGTTACGTTTCTTACAGCATTTTTTGGGGATCAATTGTGTAAAATGCACTTTAAGCAACATTTCTGCAGTACCGCCAAGTTGCTGTCTATTTTTATTAAAGCAAGATTTGTCAAGGCATTTCACTTTTCCACTGAACTTACTGTAACATTTATCTATCACACAGCATCATTTGATCAGGTCTTATGCAGAAATGCTGCACAAGAAAACTTTGCTACATTGATGAAATGAATGAAGAAATTAAACTATCTTGGTTAATAGATTTCTAGAAGAAATAGAARGTAGTTGCCTTAATAATTGAGCAGTACAAAAAATACCCCAACATAATATTTTCTTGGCTAGACTAGTAAGAGTGACTCCAAAAGAAAGGGAAGGGCAAAAAGAAACTTGAAGTATAAAAAGAACATTACAAACCAATGATCATCAGCAATCAGCACTCCAGAAAGCTGAATATCATGTTTGGAATTTGGTGTACATCTTCCAACTGTAGTTTCTCCTTCTTTGATCATATATAACAGCACCTCAGAAAGCTGAGGRTCTTCATTGAGATTGACAAGGTTTGGTAAATTATTGTCCATTTTGAATGCAATTCCAGATTTCTAGATAAAAAAGAGCTCTGCATTAAAAAACTATTTACATAGTTATACATAGCTATACCTAGTTCACATTTACAAAATATCTACATCCAATTTTTCTAAGAAGTCACAGGAATCTGTTAAAAGAAGAGCATTAAGGAAACTAAATCTTACAGCTACTCTCATTCTTCTGCAAGGTTTGCTGAGGTTATATTTTCTGTACTATGTTCTACAGAAAGAAAATGTACCTGCAATTCTTTTATATCTTCCAATTTCCTTTTCTCTGCTTGTTCAAGTTTTTCTTTCCAGGCCCTTAATGTATTAAAGAGAAAATAACATATTAAGAGAAAAATAACAGCATGTAAGTTTTACCATTTCGATTTTTTATGAAGACATTAATGACTGCCTGACCTTTGCATTTCTGCCATGCTCCTCTCCTGCTGGTGCAATTCTACCCTCAGAGATGTTATTTCCTGCAAATAACGCCTGTATTTTTCACGATCCGTGTTCAGAGCACTTTTCTGAGCTGCCTTCAGTTTTTCAATTTCAGCTTTCAATTCTACATTAGTAAAAATCAGAGTACACATTAAAATGAAGGCAAACCACACTTTGGTACAAAATTAATTCTGTTATTAATTAAAAACAAAACATCTTTCTCTATTCCAGGTTCTCAAATGTAGCYAAAGATATTACCTGAATTTTGGAGAAAAAAAAAGTTTACAAGGAACAGTAATATTTAAAGGAAGACATACCAGGTTGTATTAGTCTACTTGACTAGCAGCCAGTCACTACAGATTATTATCAGTAAGAACTCTTACAAGAAATAAGCTAAACACACATGGAAACGAAAACTCTGCAAGACTGCAGATGTTAATCTCACCTCTGATTAGCTTGACATTCACATCTTCATTTACTTTAGCAATGTTGATAATTGAACAAGCCTGTTTTGCATAGCGAAGGGTGCTGAGTGTCTCTTCCGTGCTGCTGGCAGCTGGGCTCACTGTGGCAATCATGGTCGTTTGGGAATTCCCACCAAGACTTTCCTTTAGCAGCCTTCATTGGAGAGAATACCAGTCAATCCCTGGCCCTCACACTGACAGAAAAATTCAAAACTTCCCAATTGGAACAGATTAAATACAAAATACCTGGGGTCTTACTACTTATTTGAGAGGGACTGTTAGCTACTTGAAACAAAAACCAAGCTCCTGTTTGGTCTTTATCTGGATGCAACAGGCTAATTTTTTCCCTCCCTAGGTCATTTGAGATAGTGATTTTCTCATCTATTCAGGGAGCATTATTTCCATTCTTACTCTCACTATCTCAGAAAGGCTCATTTATACCAAAAAAATTCTGAAATGTACATACCAAGTAAGGACAGATTCCCGGTAAGGAATGAAAGTTTTCTTTCCATTTTGAGATTGTTTAGAGAGCGCAGAAATAACCCTTCCAAGGGTTAACAGCGATTTATTGATACTCACACCTTCCTACACAAAGGAAAAATTAAAATATYTCTAATATYGTTGCAGCTTCTTGTGTAATGTTATCAATTGAACTGTTGATTATGTTARTTCAGTGTATGATACAGCTGTACCACGTTAAATGGCACAAGTTACTAAAAAAACAGTAAGATGGAAAAGCAGTCTAAAAGATCTTCATTTGGAAAGAACAAAGACCCTGCCTTTAAAATTAGTAGTGTTAAAAACCATCAAACTTATGAAGGCAGCTTGAAATAAAGTCTCTTATTAAAAAACCTTTTTAATTAGATGSATCCCAARAAGGGCAAGCCTCAGGTCTGTGTGRTATTTGACTCATGCTTTGCAAAGTCAAACTAACAGTTTTCTCTAACTGCTCCTGCACAGCATGGGGAGTGAGTGCTGTTCTAAGCAAGATCTGCCACACTGCACAGTCCAAACAGCTTCTTCAAGCCACCCACCCTCACTAACAAAATGTKATGTAATACTGATAAGCATAAGTGCTATGTACATCCTTTTATAGTTACAGTTCCTGCCCAAAAGTCCCATTAGGTAAGCATGCTTTGCAGTTTAAGGGTATTCTTAGCAGTCAATTCTTTTCCTCAGCTTTCCACTCATGATTTACCTTCAGTCTTTCTCCAGTGGTCTGAGCTTTTGTACAGCACTCACTGCCTGCCAGATCAATTAGATTTATGTGACTGGTCAGCCTACGATCGCACTGTTCTTCATTCACAAATTTTGCCTGAAAGAAAGGGAAATGCTGGCATTCAACCCAAAATAAAAAGCCTGAGGACAAGCAGAAATCTGACAAGCTGTGCACATTAAATACATAAAAACTTGATGCTTCCATTTAATTTTTGACAGGATATCCTCATGTAGATCCCTTGAAGGAGACTAAACTCAGACTTGTAACCATAGTACCAGCTGGTTGTGGCTGAATACCTGCACAAGCACAAAGTGCAAACACAACAGATTACCAAACTAGAGGTTTGGGTCTGAATTTGGTTGACTGCAGTCAATCCAATTGCAGTTATCCAATAAATATGCAAATCAGTAAGCTGTTACTGGCTTAGACTAATGAAGATCAGTTAAGGAGTCAATGAAAAAGGCTCAAGACCAGTTATTATAGCAAAAAATCAATAATCTAGTGGTGAAAATGGCAAGGGAAAGAAGAAAGGAGAAAAAACAGGAAGCTGAGACAAAAAAATTTAACCAATCAAGAACAAAAAATCCCCCAAACAAACAAATTATTTGTCAGTAAAGAAAACAGACAGTCTGTAGACTCCTGAGGAGCTCTACCTATTTCATATCTGTGTTCATGCTCATSTCACTAAGTCAGGTTTTGTCTTTTAAGCATCTGTAATTCAGATGAGGAGCTGTAGTGCCTATATCCTGGAGACACTTGGGGAAGAGGCATCCTAAAGCAAGAAAACATTTATTCATTTAAGTGTATTGAAACTACAACAAATTGCCCCAGTTCCTTGCCTGCAGGAACTSAGCACAGCCCTGCACCTCACACAGCCCAACCTTCTTAGAAGCTGTGTTGGCAGCAGTGGGAAATTCAACCTGGCCTCAATTAGGATTCCTGTTACATCTCAAAACTCACACTGAGAAGCTTGGAACTACTCCTAGATCTGTCAGCCTAGACATATTTATACTGCTGCTATAAATATACTTAGCACAACGACATCAGAATCTACTCAAAGCATGCAAAATAAAACAAATGTTGCTGTGTAGGAAGCAATGTCAGAATACGCTGTGCTCTACTCAAAGATCTTCAAGTATATTCTCATAACTCTCCAGGCAGCACACAAAGCAACTCTTTACTACCAGATTTGAAAAGATACAAAAAACCCCAAAACAATACCTTGGTTTGTGTCATGACAAGGGTGAAGACAGAATGAGATCTAGAGCTCTTGTCATTCATTACTGTAGCGGCTGTTGCTCTCTGTTTATTTCCTAGTTCAAGCCAACACTGTAAGACAAAAGTCACGATGTGAAACCATACCTTACTCTGGGTGGTTAACTGAAGATTGAAATGTTTGCAAATGCWGTTATTAACACAAATTACTACTATAAGAGAAGAATTTAAAGTTAAACTTAAGAGATAACCATGGAAACAGTGACACTCGACTTTACAAGTCTACTCMGCTCCATTATACAGAATTAGTCCTCATTACCTTTTTACCAAATCAGCTGAAATATCAAAGACTAGACAGGCTGTTAAGCATTTGCTTCCCATCCACAKAATTTATTTTTCAGCAGTAAGCGGAAAAGGAGCAAGCAGAAATATTTGTATTCCCTTCTAGTAATCAAATAATTCTTACCTGAATATCAGCATAAGAACGGACAACATTCCTAAATTGGGGGGTAAAAAGAAAAGTTTGGGTTCAGGCAGTTTTCTTTCTATAGATTTCCCTGYTGCCTGAGTTCTGAAACATTTTCCCAGTTACAAACAAGACACAATGAAAGCTTCAGTCCTCTTGAGACTTCCACATTCACACTATGTCAGGATCACACCATGCTTCTATTAACATAAGTACAGTTAAGACTTACACTGTCAGGCCTTCCACATATGGTCCTAACACAGGATGTTCTCTTACACGAAGCTGGTTGGGAATATTTTCAAAATAAAAATTATTAGGCGTGCATTAGTTAGATCTAGCACTCAGAAATACCTTAAAAAAAGATTCTGCAACATAAAACTATTACATTTGCAAATTAAGTAGCTTACCCCAAAATCATTGGCAAAACTCAGAGTGAAAACACTCCTGCTTTAGACAAGACCATGTTGTTTTAACTTCTTTATAACAAGGCCACCTAAGCCCCAAGCTTAGGTTAAAGGATTTATTTCAACAGCAWGTTGAATATTTCATAAAATCTTTATCATAACCTAACTGTCACTTTACAYACAAGTGGCCAAGATAGTGTTCAGTGTAAAATCATGGGAAGTACTTTTTTTTGATAAATCAGACATAATACATTCCTTCTCCACATACACTACTTCAGACAAATTTCTTTAATTTATRGTTTTACATATTCTAATATACAAACACTAAAAACTAGATAAACTAGTTTAACTAGGGATCCTTAACTAGTTATTCAGGCCAATCTTGTTCCTTTTYCCCCTCCTCCAGCTCCTTGAGAGACAACCAGGCAACAAAAAAAAGACACCTCCATCTAAATAACAAGCTATAACTCAAATTATATTGTACAGAAGATTCTTATTATAATCTGAAGATTTAGATATATAATATCCTAGGGGACTTTGTATAAAGGCTAATAAGATCATCTTCATTTTGCAGATAAGAGGAGATTTTAACCATTTTGAGAGATTCTACTGAATCATTTTGCTTCTGTTTCAGCATTGCTTAAMAATTCTCCAGTGGTAAGCATTTTGCTTTAAGTCATGTGGTGATATTTTGTTTTTTTACTTAAATCCCATTTTTCACAACTAAGGTACTTAGATAAAAAACAATGATCACTTGTCATTTGTGCATTTTTTCAGAAAAAAATGCCAATACTTAAGAGATTATGCACATACTTGATTATGTGAGCAACTTACTTGTTTCTTCTGTCCATTTTCAGCTTTAAAGACAAGCAGATCATGAATTTTCTCATTGTATACTTCAAAGAAGCTCATTTCAAGATGATACAAAACCTAATAAAATTAATAATAGTTATTAACATAGTCCACAAAACATATTAATCATCCTTTGTTTCAAAAATACAGACTGACACAGCAAAAAAAATACAAAGAAAGYAGGGATAGTTATTTTTTGTTTCAGCTAGACTACTGAGCTAGAAAGCTAGAATTGGAATATTATGACAGTGTATTTTGCTTTGATACATGATGCTCAACAATAAATTCATATTTTTGAGCTCTATTTTACTGTGTCAACTGAAAGTATGGAACCCACTGGAATTTTTACCTTTCCTTACGTAAACCTTATATTGTAAGACACACAATACAGAGGAAAGAATCCTAGTCTAGTGATGCAACAAAAATATTATGCCCATATTTCTTTTKGTTTTTCATATTACTGCCATTAAAGAAGCAAATCAGTGTTGATTTTGAYTGTTTAGGGAACCCCATGATCAGAGCTATTAATAGAAATAAAATTTGAATCTGCAAAAGAATASAACACTAATAAATGGATCAGCACTAAGGTATCAGCTTCTTCATATTCCAATATAAGGTCAGCGACATAAGCATTTCACCTGTTCCTTGTCCATTTGTGCTATTTGATTGAAAAGGTCTTCACAAAGTCTTGGAATTATTCCTCGGTCTTCATCAAATCCCATCATCCTGTGGTTACAAAAACCTGCTCGTTCAGTGTTGTTACTCTCTAGAGGTAGTTTTAATGTTTACTGTACAGCTCTAAAGTTGACATGCCATGTGCTTCCAAGTTATACAATAATAAGCAACAGTTATAAAACTCATAGAACTAATTTTAATAGGTGCATGCTTGAAAACTAAACAAATCACTAAGCATTCTATTTCAAAATATAAATAAGGTATATACAATTGGCTATAGACCCTAAAAATGTTACCTGTTTGGGATTATTTTGTGCAAAGATTTGATTTTAAATATGCAGTGCCACAAACATCTRGATTTACTTAAAGTTCTGAAGCATCTCAACCATAATTAGAATGATCTCCTTAATGTCTTCTCCAAAAGAGATGCTATACTTTACTATGTCACTTCATGCACAAAATAACAAACATGGTGAAAAACAGCACTGGGAGAGTCTGAGAAGCTTTCAGTAATAATGAAGGTTTTCCTTCACCCAAATCTCTGAAGAGTGTCTATTTTCTCCATTAAAAGTAGAAAGAAGTAAGAGTCWGACACATAAAAATATTACAATGTTAACTTTTGCTTAATTGCTATATATATAGGTTTAATTATTTCTTAAATACACAATAGCATTTTGACACAATTCAATCACTCYGAAATTCAATACAATCTCTTTCATGACTTAATATTGCATAACAATTGACACCTACAGAATTTTAACAATTATTATTAGCAACTTACGTGTATGATTTTCCAGAGCCAGTCTGCCCATAAGCAAAAAGACAAGCGTTGTATCCCTCAAAAGCTCTTTCAAGGAGTGGCACTGCCAAAGTTTTATAAATCATTGCTTGGCTYGCAAAATTAGGATGACCCTTGTCAAAAGACCAAAAGGAAAAGTCATAACTGAAGCTGTAAATTTGGTTGGTGGATGGRTTTCGTACAACTGTCTCTGAACCACTCATGGAGACTACAGGGAAYAAGTCTTCAGTTTTCTCTCTGAATGGAAAGGGTGAGAAAATAAAAAAAATATAAGATACTTACACAAGTTAGTGATTTCAATCTACTGCCTAACGCAAAATAAAAAAAAATGAGTGATCATTGCTAAAAATACTTGTTTGATGAACATGCAAAGTATTAAGGCTCAAAACACTTCTGTTAATAAATATGTAAAAAATAGACCCAAACACCCATAAAGTCAATTAAGCTTCATAATAAAATCTTTACCTTGGTGTTACATGAAGTATCAGCTAATTTCTAAGCATGTATTACATCCTTATTGGGTCAATAATTAAATAACTCAAAAAGTACAAAACAGAAATCAAGATACACTGTTAGCAACAGAAATAAGGCCAGGATACAAACCTGTTATTGAAGGGCCGCACCCGCACAGCTACAATCACTTTGCTGTTTTTCATTTTGAAAACATCTTCCCCAGTACTGCTGCTCTCAGCTAAAGTTTCTGTGTTCACTTTTGTTCCTGAATCTGTACTCAAAGGAAGAGAGCTGGAGACACTTGGGAGTTTTTTGGCAAAAATTTGCAGATGAGGTGTTCGTTCATTTGAGGTTGACTTGAGAGATGGTTGATCATGAGAAGTGCTGTTCTTTGGGGTAAGCAGAAWTCTTTCTGTTRAAACTTTTGCTGGTGTCCTTGGCCYTTCCAAGCTGCTATGTTTTATCATCAAGTGCTGTACTCTTTGCTTTCCAGCTAGCTTACTCACATTCCCTTTTTCATTCAGTTGTTCTCCTGATAGCCTATTAGTACATTTCAAGGTAACTAACCGTTCTGCTTTAGGAACTTCATYTTGATATTTTCTGTCACCACCAATYAAACCAAAGGAATCCTTGCCGTTCAGATTATCCTGCAACTTGGTATTTGACTGACTCTCAGTTAACTTTAAGTTTGGTTTAACATCATCGGTATCCTTAACAGTCTGTGGAAGTGTAATCTTGTCATTTCTTTGTGCATCAAAGTCATTATTTTCTTTTCTAGGCAYAATATTCTGGTTAATTTTACTCCTCTCTGTGGAGCCAGTCCTCGCACGCCTCCGCAGAGTAAGTCTCTTGTCTGTTTCTGGCTCTTCTGTGCCCTGTGTTGTGTCATTACTGGACACTGATTTTTTGCTTGCCCCAGTTCTCCTCTGGAGTGTTAATTTGCCTTCAAATTTAAAAGTAGTTGACATGTCACTCACTTTTTCACAAGCTGAAATCACATAGGTCCTATTTACTTCCCGACTCTTATTCTGAGAACATGAAGGCAGAGTATCCTTTTCTCCCAACACCTGTGACTTCAGCTGTGTCCCAGATGCTTTGCTGCTGGCCAGGGTATTGTGACAAGCCTTCTGCAAAGTGGCTGTGCATCGTGTCCCAGCAGGACTTCTGGCAGGAACTGTGTAAATAGGCATCTTGCTTCCAGGAAATTAAAACCCAAATGTTAACAAGCACGGAACCTTTCCTAAAGGATTATTTCTAGTTGCTGCTTTGTAAGGAATCTGGAGAGACAAAGCAAAAATTTTTTTATGATGCTCATGTGAAATGTAAATTATGTTTTGCTGCATGGGATGCTCCTTACATATACTGCAGTACATGTTTCCAAACATAAAGAACAATTAGGATCCTGTCTCACCTCTTTTGTTACTTTTTAACAAAAAAAGTAATTATTTTCTATTTGAATGACTGCTTACAACAACAGGCTATTTGACTTTACTCATTGAGTTCTATGATTTGTTTAATCCAAGCATCACAAAGAAGCACCAGCTGGTAAAAAGAACAGTCAAACTAGTAGGCAACAAAGATTATCGTGGATATTTCTTCCAAATTATCTACTATGATTTCCAAAATAAGGAAATTCCAGGCTGTGTTTTCATTCCCTCACAGCTGTTTTACACCTTCAGTGTTTCACAGTTAACATACTCCAATGGAACAAAGTTAACCTTAAATAGGACGTATCTATGGAAAGCATCTTTTTTTCAGGATTTTGATGCACAATACATAACTCAGTATCAGAACAAGACAGTTAATAAAATGACTATCAATATTACCTTTGGATGTCCCTGTTTTCCCTGTTGCATCTGCATAATAGTTATTGGGTTGCAACCGGTTTGATATCAGTACCCACTATAGACTTGCCAGCTGCAATTAATTCAGTGTTACGAGTCAACAAGAAGTTACCTGCCTTTAATCCTTCAAAAGCTGCAGTATCATTAACCTGGTTTCCTGGTCAGGGCAACGAAGGAAAGCAAGATGAGAGCAAGTGATGTAGAAGAAACTATTTAGCCACTGCTCCAACAGAAGTTTCCTTGAATACTACATTTTTAAATTATAGCTTTCAAAGTACTCTCAGACTTCATGCAATTGCATCCACTTACACAGATCATGACTGAGTTTTCACAGCTCACAAGAATGTCAGAATTTCAGAACGGTGTATTTATTGGTCAGTCCAGTTTGAGACAGGAAACTGTTACATGAGCAGTAAAATACAAACTTTGTGGTTCCCTCTAGCAGTCATCAAATAGAGAAGCACGGATGTGAGCTATGAATGGTCTTAGTGTTTTCAGAAAAGTCCATCCGTTCCATGCAGCTTTTACATAACTCCCGTAAGAAAGTTCTCCCCTTCTYTTGCCACAGCTGTGCCTTGAGAATATTCACTAAGTTTTTCTTGAGAAAAATGAAACTCCCTATTAAAAGCTCCTTCGTTCTAAAATAAGGAATTAGGTTCAGTTCGAAAGAACTGAACTCAGAACGAGAAATACGCTCATTCCTCATTTTTAAACAATTGCAGTCACTAACTACAGACAAAACGCAAGGGCTCAAAGCTGTGCGAAAGCGCAGGAGCAACAGGCAGCACTGTCATCCCTCAGCAAAGCTCCCCTCCCTCCTCGGCCGAGCCCCGGCAGACTCCGCACGGCCGCGGGGTTGTGTCGCGGCCCGCCCTCGGGGAGAGAGCGAGGAAGCAGCAGCAGCAGCAGCTGCGGAGCCATCACACACGGCCCAGAGCCCCTCGGCTCCCCCCNGGTTTCGTACAACTGTCTCTGAACCACTCATGGAGACTACAGGGAACAAGTCTTCAGTTTTCTCTCTGAATGGAAAGGGTGAGAAAATAAAAAAAATATAAGATACTTACACAAGTTAGTGATTTCAATCTACTGCCTAACGCAAAATAAAAAAAAATGAGTGATCATTGCTAAAAATACTTGTTTGATGAACATGCAAAGTATTAAGGCTCAAAACACTTCTGTTAATAAATATGTAAAAAATAGACCCAAACACCCATAAAGTCAATTAAGCTTCATAATAAAATCTTTACCTTGGTGTTACATGAAGTATCAGCTAATTTCTAAGCATGTATTACATCCTTATTGGGTCAATAATTAAATAACTCAAAAAGTACAAAACAGAAATCAAGATACACTGTTAGCAACAGAAATAAGCCCAGGATACAAACCTGTTATTGAAGGGCCGCACCCGCACAGCTACAATCACTTTGCTGTTTTTCATTTTGAAAACATCTTCCCCAGTACTGCTGCTCTCAGCTAAAGTTTCTGTGTTCACTTTTGTTCCTGAATCTGTACTCAAAGGAAGAGAGCTGGAGACACTTGGGAGTTTTTTGGCAAAAATTTGCAGATGAGGTGTTCGTTCATTTGAGGTTGACTTGAGAGATGGTTGATCATGAGAAGTGCTGTTCTTTGGGGTAAGCAGAAWTCTTTCTGTTRAAACTTTTGCTGGTGTCCTTGGCCYTTCCAAGCTGCTATGTTTTATCATCAAGTGCTGTACTCTTTGCTTTCCAGCTAGCTTACTCACATTCCCTTTTTCATTCAGTTGTTCTCCTGATAGCCTATTAGTACATTTCAAGGTAACTAACCGTTCTGCTTTAGGAACTTCATYTTGATATTTTCTGTCACCACCAATYAAACCAAAGGAATCCTTGCCGTTCAGATTATCCTGCAACTTGGTATTTGACTGACTCTCAGTTAACTTTAAGTTTGGTTTAACATCATCGGTATCCTTAACAGTCTGTGGAAGTGTAATCTTGTCATTTCTTTGTGCATCAAAGTCATTATTTTCTTTTCTAGGCACAATATTCTGGTTAATTTTACTCCTCTCTGTGGAGCCAGTCCTCGCACGCCTCCGCAGAGTAAGTCTCTTGTCTGTTTCTGGCTCTTCTGTGCCCTGTGTTGTGTCATTACTGGACACTGATTTTTTGCTTGCCCCAGTTCTCCTCTGGAGTGTTAATTTGCCTTCAAATTTAAAAGTAGTTGACATGTCACTCACTTTTTCACAAGCTGAAATCACATATGTCCTATTTACTTCCCGACTCTTATTCTGAGAACATGAAGGCAGAGTATCCTTTTCTCCCAACACCTGTGACTTCAGCTGTGTCCCAGATGCTTTGCTGCTGGCCAGGGTATTGTGACAAGCCTTCTGCAAAGTGGCTGTGCATCGTGTCCCAGCAGGACTTCTGGCAGGAACTGTGTAAATAGGCATCTTGCTTCCAGGAAATTAAAACCCAAATGTTAACAAGCACGGAACCTTTCCTAAAGGATTATTTCTAGTTGCTGCTTTGTAAGGAATCTGGAGAGACAAAGCAAAAATTTTTTTATGATGCTCATGTGAAATGTAAATTATGTTTTGCTGCATGGGATGCTCCTTACATATACTGCAGTACATGTTTCCAAACATAAAGAACAATTAGGATCCTGTCTCACCTCTTTTGTTACTTTTTAACAAAAAAAGTAATTATTTTCTATTTGAATGACTGCTTACAACAACAGGCTATTTGACTTTACTCATTGAGTTCTATGATTTGTTTAATCCAAGCATCACAAAGAAGCACCAGCTGGTAAAAAGAACAGTCAAACTAGTAGGCAACAAAGATTATCGTGGATATTTCTTCCAAATTATCTACTATGATTTCCAAAATAAGGAAATTCCAGGCTGTGTTTTCATTCCCTCACAGCTGTTTTACACCTTCAGTGTTTCACAGTTAACATACTCCAATGGAACAAAGTTAACCTTAAATAGGACGTATCTATGGAAAGCATCTTTTTTTCAGGATTTTGATGCACAATACATAACTCAGTATCAGAACAAGACAGTTAATAAAATGACTATCAATATTACCTTTGGATGTCCCTGTTTTCCCTGTTGCATCTGCATAATAGTTATTGGCTTGCAACCGGTTTGATATCAGTACCCACTATAGACTTGCCAGCTGCAATTAATTCAGTGTTACGAGTCAACAAGAAGTTACCTGCCTTTAATCCTTCAAAAGCTGCARTATCATTAACCTGGTTTCCTGGTCAGGGCAACGAAGGAAAGCAAGATGAGAGCAAGTGATGTAGAAGAAACTATTTAGCCACTGCTCCAACAGAAGTTTCCTTGAATACTACATTTTTAAATTATAGCTTTCAAAGTACTCTCAGACTTCATGCAATTGCATCCACTTACACAGATCATGACTGAGTTTTCACAGCTCACAAGAATGTCAGAATTTCAGAACGGTGTATTTATTGGTCAGTCCAGTTTGAGACAGGAAACTGTTACATGAGCAGTAAAATACAAACTTTGTGGTTCCCTCTAGCAGTCATCAAATAGAGAAGCACGGATGTGAGCTATGAATGGTCTTAGTGTTTTCAGAAAAGTCCATCCGTTCCATGCAGCTTTTACATAACTCCCGTAAGAAAGTTCTCCCCTTCTTTTGCCACAGCTGTGCCTTGAGAATATTCACTAAGTTTTTCTTGAGAAAAATGAAACTCCCTATTAAAAGCTCCTTCGTTCTAAAATAAGGAATTAGGTTCAGTTCGAAAGAACTGAACTCAGAACGAGAAATACGCTCATTCCTCATTTTTAAACAATTGCAGTCACTAACTACAGACAAAACGCAAGGGCTCAAAGCTGTGCGAAAGCGCAGGAGCAACAGGCAGCACTGTCATCCCTCAGCAAAGCTCCCCTCCCTCCTCGGCCGAGCCCCGGCAGACTCCGCACGGCCGCGGGGTTGTGTCGCGGCCCGCCCTCGGGGAGAGAGCGAGGAAGCAGCAGCAGCAGCAGCTCCGGAGCCATCCCACCCCATCCCAGAGCCCCTCCGCTCCCCACCCCCCGGCCCGGAGGGAAAACCCCCGCCGAGCTGCGGAAGGGTCCGTCCGGTCCGGGCCGCCCCTCACCTGAGCGCGCCACTCCTCAACCGCCGCCCGCCCGCGGCGCTGCGCTCGGGCCCGGCACCGCCCCCGCCCCATTTGAACGCGCCGGGCGCGCCCGATTGGCCCCGCCAGGCTCCGCCCAGGCCCGGCCCCGCGAGGCTCCGCCCAGGCCCGGCCCCGCGGAGCGCCCCGCGCCGGCAGGGGGCGCCCTGCCCTGCCCTGCCCTGCTCGGCTGTGAGGGCTGAGGCTCGGAGCGGTCACACCCAGCGCCGCCCGCTCCGCKCCGCCCCAGCCTCAGACCGAGCTTCACCTCACTGCCAAAGCCCGAGCGAAAAGGGGAAAATGCGCTGCGACAGCAATTAAAGGAACGCAGGATGGCTCTGACACTTAAGGCAACGTTGGCACTCCAGGCAACACCAGGGGAAGAAATAAAACCAGGATGCTGGACAGTCAATTGACATGCCTATGAAAGACCGACTGAAATTAAAATAGAAAAAACTAACTGAACCACGTTACAATGAGAAATCTTGCTACAAGATAACAGAGCCACGTAGTTGATACAACTTTATCATTACACAACCATTATTCACATTTAGTTCCCTGGGGCAAAGGTGGTGTAGAACTGTTGCTTGATTTTGTGATTGTCGAACACAATCTGTGGAATTTTTGTACAGCAYGGGGGCCAAGGATGGAGGTGTCTCTACTTCCAAATGCACCTATGCCTGATCCAAATTTGTCTGCAGYAGCACTACACAAAAACATTTTATACGCAGAAGTTGATTATTTCAAAGGAGAGAGAAAAATCAAATTCCATTTGTAAAGGAGACATCATTTTSATACGATGCCAAATTGAAAATAGCACTAAAAACATGACAAGTTTCACACATGGTTGTGAATTATGCTGGGGGAAAAACTGTTGTAAACTATGTCAAAGGAGTAAAGCATCCCTAACGTGTCTTTGGACAGACCCTAAYTCTTGTTTGAGCTTGGGTCTCCAGYGTAAGATTGATATCAAACAGCCAKATCCAACAACTCCTACAAACCTGTCTCCTCACATTTGTAACATTAGTCCCTGAAGTAAGTTGCCACACTCACGTCATCTATGTAAGACCTATCTTTTTAATGTTGTTGAGGGAAAAAAATAAAGTTTTTGATACTAGGGAGAAAAAAATTAGCTACTAGGCATTTAACAATTTCTTTGTCACCAAAATCAGTTTATCCCATTGCTATCCTTTGGCCAAACAGCAGACATACAGTTCACAGGGCTAACCTCTAACTAGCTGCAACATCTCAGTCTGCCACAAAGGGATGGTGCATCACAGCAGCATGAAAGCTCTGATGACCTTGATTTTTCAAGCCTCAGTCTAAAAGTTAAAATAAAAGTTAAGAAAAGGAARTTTTGGTTATGATCTCAGACTTCAGCTGGGAAATCATACAACACTATCTTAATACAGTTTTGACCTAATTTCCCAAAAAAAAAACGCATCTAGTCTCAGAGCATGGCAAGTTATGCTTAAATGAGTTACTATGATCATTTATACATTAACTATGTTTCATTACATAAAAATACAAATTATAGGCTTTATCTTATTTCTCTTCAATGAAGTTGCACTAATAAATGATTTTTGGTATTGCACAGTTSTTGAGCAGAACTTCCAACTGGTCCACAGGCACTAAAGGAGAAACTAAATTTACAGTACTGTTTACAAACAAAACTTGCATATGTGTTCCTAAGAAACCCCAAGAAAGCAAACTGAGGACTTGAGAAATATTGCCAGTGGAAGATTTTATTTAAGCTAACAGGAAGATTTTCAGAGGTTTTCAGAGGCTAATCTGTCACTTTTTTTTCTTGCAAGCAAGACCAAAGACTGCTGGTTTTGAAAAAAGACCACAGAGTACTTTTACTAGCTACTACTATAATTCAAGCACACAACAGCCTGTATTTCAAAATAAATATGAGATAAAAAGAGACCTTTTTAAAAACTGTACAAATTTCTTTCAAACAAGCAATATACAAGACAACATTTCATGTTTACTTTTAATCATACTTTCACTGTAATTACATAATTATAAATACCCCTTTATTACCTCCGAGAATTATTTTTGTTGTTTTTTTTAATAATGTCTATAATATTATCTCCTGTTACAAGGCTATTCTGTAGTTGTTTAAGTCTCTGTTGTTCCCTTCTCTTCTGGTCATGCAGATATGGGGAATTAAGCAGCTGTGGGGGAAGAATGGTGCCTGTGGGTTCTACTCTCTTCACAACATCCCAAAAGAGCTTCTTGCTGTTGTTATTGATAAAAGTAATTGCAGTTCCATTGTGACCCAATCTCCCTGCTCTTCCAACCTGAAAAAGCATAAATTCATTTTAAGTTAGCAATATTAAATGGAAGTCCTTCAAACAGTCTTATTAAGTCTAYTTTTTTACAAAACAGCAAATAAACCCAGCAGGGCCAAATTTATATCTCATCCTCTAAGCACAAAGTTACTTGCAATAAACTTCCTGAATTCAGGATATGTAGATCTGAAGCTCTAGTTTGAATGCATCTAAAATTATTAATTGTTTATGGGAYATACCAGAAGTCCAATATTGGTTCTGAGATATGAGATACAGCCTATGGGCAAAGATTTACAGTAGATCCTAACAAAATGTTTTTATAAGTCTTTATTATAGAGACAAAATAAATACAATTTACTGTATTTCATATCAAGTACTATATGTACCAGCATGGCCATAATAATGCCCTTTACTTTCAATGTTCTATTAACTTTAAATTATTTACCAATATTATCTAAAATGCTTGAACAAATTAGAAAAGAATCTCCAAAGACTTCTTAGGAGATTCTTAGGATCAGCTAATATGCTAATATTGGTATAGTTTTGACGATGGGAAAGACCTTTTTCACTTACTTAATACATGCTTGAAAGTTTTGCAGAAAGAAAACGAAATACAAGAAGGGAATACTGCAGTTAGTATATAACTCGAGAATACTCGAGTTCATGACAGTGGATAACTTCCARAAGTCCTCCTCATCTATCTGGACAYRGTTAACTTCAAAGTCAGATCAGTTCCCTCGAGGCCTTGTTTCAAGTGTCCCTAAGCAGAAAGCTCCTATCACCCCTTGTGCCGGACTCCCTTTGCTGTGAAAATCCTTTCTCCCTAYTCTGAGGCCACAGTTTCCCTTGTAGCAAGTTATGACCATTTGCTCTTGTCCTTTCCCTGGGTATCTTCAAGGAGAGTCTGGCTCTGTCTCCTCAGTAACACYCGAATGGAAGAGAGCAATTAAATCCTCACGCAGCCCAAACAAGCCCAGTTCTCTSAGCCTGCCTTTGTGTGTCACGTGTGCCAGCCCCTTGACTTCACCTGGACTCCCTCCAGTTCGTTGGCTTTTCCCATAGCTGATGTTCTCAGAACTGCACACAGTAGCGCTGTGTCTTCCTAAGTGCCACAATGAGGGAGGGCAAGGAGCTCTCTTCATGTGCCAGCTAAACTAGGGCTGGGGACTTTGCACATAAATGCACACGAARGTGCAACTCAGAGATCATCTTTTTTAAAGCAGGAAATCCTCAGAATACAAGCAAAAGAGGAGATACCTGACTAGAACGACAGGAAGAAATCAAGTTCATGACTGCTTTCCTGACTACTGCATGCATATCCCACACTGCAGATGAGCTGCAGCTGAAAGAGGGATATTTGGCCTTTCCTCACACAGACAGCAAAAAAACATAAACTTTGTTTTCTTCAGAGATTAAATGATACAAAAGAGTACAAAACAGGAAGAATATTACTGCAAAAGTAAGTTATATAAAAACATGCTACGGGTTTAAATAACTTATATAGGGGAAATGTGTTCTAGATTTTAGTCATTTATATAAGAAACTTATGAGGAGATATCCAGCACTTTTTGTTTCCTTTCCTATAAAATCAAGATTCCAAAGAGGAAAATCATCTGTTTACATTTAAATTTCCAAAGRTGGATGTCATATTTCAATATATTTTTCAAAAAGAGCTTTAGTAATTTATTTATTTACCTGGTGTACATATTCATCCATACTTGAAGGCATATCAAAATTYACCACCAGTTTGACATTGACAAGGTCAAGCCCTCGTCCAAGGACTCCAGTACTTACTATAACTTCATACTTCTCTTGAAGTAATCCCTGGCAAGGGAGGAACAAATAAAAATTAATTCTTTGTGCCTTATTTGTATTTTGAACCTCTCCAAGCATAGGCTAACAGCTAGTTATTAGGGGCAAGAACACACCCAGTAGGATTATTCCATTGTAGAAGAGAGAATGGCTCCTCTGTATTCATTATTTAAACAGGAATATAATTCACAGAGATAATTAAAGAGAGATCAAACCCACAATTTTAATTCTAAAAGTCATCCATTAAAATTAAATGCATATTTAAATTCCCATTTCAAATAATCTAGAAAACTGTCTCTGTATTTCTCCACATTGAAAATGCCATTATCATCTATGGTTTTGCTTGGTCCCATCTGTCTCTCATCTCCCCCAGCAATACCCCAGGTATTACTGCAGAAAAGCACTCAATTATGACTTCATTCATTCAAATCAAGCCACATTTAAAAAAAGGCCATTTGAAATCTACCAAAACACCATTAAGGCTAGGAGGCACAAACCTGTAATATGTCTGTTCTTTCCACCTGAGATTTTTCTGAATGCATAGCTGTGCACTGCAATCCTGTAATCTTATGAACAGCATCACTCAACAGATCTGCTCCCAGTTTACAGTCCACAAACACCAGAACTGGAGGCTTGAAGAGCTTTGCATCCTGTAAAATGAAATAGTTGATTTAAAAAGGTATTACAACCATTAGCTGTTCATCATCAGCATGGATTCAATTTCTCTGATCATGAGATGAGAACTTGACAGATGTGGAAAGCATGACTCATTTCATAAATTGCTCTTATGAGAAAAATATTAAACTTACATTTAGTATTTCAAACAGYTTTTTCTTTTTAGATGGTTCTTCTACCCACAAGATAATTTGCCGAACATTGGAACAYGGAACATTCTTTTCTCCAATTGCTATCCTTACAAAATTGTGCAGAAGCTGATTTGCCAAGTGCTCAATGCCCACTGGAATYGTGGCTGACACCAGTATGGTTTGATGATCATGAGAGATGTCTTCCAAAATATCCAACACTTGCTGCTGGAAACCCATTTTTAACATGGTGTCCACCTAAATGAAAAACATTAGATTTGTACCACATTTTTTCCATGAACAGCAGGATCCTGAACTTGAATTGACAAAAGAACCATAATGTGCGTGACTGGCATGTAACAATCCAAATGCAGAAGTATTTACAGTCAGAAGAAATGCTAAGTGAGGAAATTAAAWACAGTTGGTTCACACTGGTCTAACAGTATTATCCTGTCAGGTATCTAAGTCATTATAGCAATAGAACATGTGGTGTTCAAACACATTTCAAATTGTGCCAAAACTAAAATTATCTCTTAAGAAATATATTGTATTTTTATAACAAACACTCTGTACGTTTAAGCAGCCAGACAAGCTACACACACTAGTGTTCCAGGACCTCTGTATAGGTAATAGACCTCTGATAAATAAAAACTTACTTCATCCACCACTACAACTTTTATGCCGTGCAGTTGAACAGAACTTTGCTTTAAAATCTCAAGAAGTCTTCCAGGTGTTGCTATTATCAGCTGAAAAAAAAAAAAGAAGAACCCACAGGAGTTAGAAATTCCATAAAAGGACAGAAGGACAGAGGACCATCCTAGAAAAACTATTAAATTTCAGCATAAAGATAAAAATGGTAGTAATTAGTGAAATTACTTGCATTCAAGTTAGTAACAAAACTTTTTCAGATAACTTATACATTATGAGGCCTTAAAAGAAAATGGACTTTTTAAAACTGTAAAGGAGGTGTCTAAATTACAAGCAATAAAATCCACCTGAAAAATAAACTATGTTTTGCTGTCAATTACCACTCCTTGTCTAAAATAYTGGCATATTTCAGTCTTGGAAATCAGTAATACCACACATGAAACTTCAAAAGAAAAGAAAAGCTATTAGATGTTTAACCAGAAGTTAAATTTTCTTTTTTAACTCTGCAACTGTAAATTTTTCAGGAGGTAGCAAATATTTCAATAGTTTAGACTTAGGAGAAACACATCTTTGTGTGTTCATACATGTCACTGGTAACATTTTTCTTTCCYGTGAATGTGATGACAACGTGACTCCACGCTCAGTGCTGACCTTCACACTCTGCTTGAGCCGGTGCAGCTGTGGTGGCAGWGGCAAACCTCCGACCAGGAGAACCGTCCTCATGTTGGGTAACCCAACCATCAGCTCCTTAGCTTGTCTCTCTATCTGAATTGCCAACTCCCTTGTTGGTGCCAAAATAAGGGCAGATGGAGTTTCTGTCTAGAAAGGAGAGGGGAAAAAAGCTGATTAACACGGAATTGCTTTATAATTTAGATAAAAAGCTTTCAAATTTCCCAAAGTTACCTTTTACATTAAAAATGAAAATTATTTTAAACAAAATAAACAAAATAAAATTACTTCTTGATATAYACATTAACTTGTATGGTACCCTGAAGACGAAGAATGGGAAAAATCATGTATAGAAGTATTTTTCATTGAGGTTCCAATTCTATGCATGTTATTATAAACAYATATCTGTCCCCCAGACTTTAATAATGATAATCAGACAGAGGAACTACCGGCGTGTAATACACCTTTTCTTACACACTTCTACATAATTTTTTTGCCTCTTAAAACTCATGCTTTTGTTCTTAATGCTAGAGTTCTTTAAAGAATAAGAGTTACTCAAATAACCTTTCATATATTCATTTAAAAAAATTTACACACATTTGTGTGTATATACATATAGCTCTACAAGTACCTAACAATGCAAAGCATCACTAGAATCAGGTCCAGAATCCTCTAATATATTTTTATGCATCTCTTTTTGAAGAAAAAAAACACTAAAGCCAAAAACAATTCTGAACCACACACAAGGTACAGAATACTATTTGCCATAGCTTCTAATTATAGGTTCATGTCTTTACAAAACAGAAGTTTTCTTAATTCTTTTTCCCACATTACCCAAGGGGAGACAGTACAACTAGTAAATTTCAGAAATTTTAGTATCCCAAATTCCTGTAGTTATTTGACAGTCAACCAAACACATTCCAAGAGAAATTACTCCATAAAATTAGGCAAATGCAACAAATCTCTTTCAGCCATTTGATATATGAAGATATAGGAAGAACTTACAGAGGGCCTGGAATTATTTTCGCTGTCTATTTTAAGACATTTAGAAAGTTTACCACAGAATTTAATTAACTTTCTTAATAAGGAGAAACTGTGTAATAGGTAATATTAATAGAGTTGCTTCATCTCCTGACCAAAAACAATCAGCACCTTCCCCCACCAAGAACCAAACCCTCTATCAATCAAAATTCAAATAAATCATTGAATRTTAATGAAAAACACCACAATCACATTCTCTATTACATTGGGAAACCAAGAGACAAAGTTGCAAACTGCTTTCTCTAACTATCTGAAGTTTCATTACCTCTTTCAAAACCTTCATAATAATAGGAAGTAGGAAGGCTGCMGTTTTTCCAGAGCCCGTGTCAGCACTAGCCAAAATATCCCTCCCTAATAGTCCAACAGGGATCATTTGCATCTGGATGGGAGTTGGGACTTCATAGCCAGAATTCTTTAAATTATTGTTTAAAGTTTCAGGAAAACCACAGTGTTCAAACTCTACGATAGGTCTTGGAACTTGCTGGCCCTGGACAGAAATACCCAGCTGGAGTTTAAGGTTCTCAACCTGCTCATCCTGCAAACCTGAAATAAAAGAATGATCTTTGTAGAAATAAGGTGCATTAAGCAGGTGAGATTCTGCTTGAGAAGATGTGGGTTGATCAGATGTTAGCTGCTCTTCCTTTGCCTGAGTCTGCAGAAGGTGTTTGGCTTTACATTCCAAACTACAAACATCTTCGTCTGTTTTATCGCAGATATACTCCCCATAGCGTCCACACACAACACACACAGGTTCTCCAGGCTCTGGCCAGCGCTGGGATTTGCTGAAGGATTTTATGGGTTCTTCCAAAGAGTCTTCCTCATCAGCATTTTGACTGKCCTTTCCCAATGGCGTATTAGCAACACCAAGGTCTCCAGCTGCAGGTTCTGTGTGTTCTTGTACAATTTCACTCGAGTTGCATGTCGAAGCAGAAGTTTCTGTTCCAACTGATTTACAGTCCTGGAACTCAGAGGTCTCCTCTAGCACAGAGTCTCCAGAAGACAGCTTATTTTTCTTAGCTGTACAACTTTTGTCCTCATCAGCAGTCCTCTTGACTTTAACAGATCTTGGTAAAAACATGTCAGTATACTAGAAAGAAAATTGTTACAGTTGTTAGAAACTACTACTATTGAAAAAGGTACATTTTACTGTTACCATAAAGAAAAAAAATCTAGCAAATGTTCAAATGTTGGCAACCCACTCTCAATCCCTGAAAAGATCTAGAAACTGCCCTATTATAAATTAWCTTGATCTTAACAATGTTGACACAATGCCAAGAAGTATTTTAAAATAACTGTAGAAGCATGGAACAATATAGAGATCTATCTACCATTAATTGTCAATGTTAGGCCTTTGCAGCTGAGTAAAAACCTCGCTTTTCACTGTGTGGGAATTTACCMATTTTGAGAGTCATTCATATTTAAATTCTTGGAGAGTTTACCTATTTCTAAGATGAAATCACAGTTGCAAGCATTATTCTAAGCTAGGGGGAAAAAATCCCAACCCAAACCAARTAAGTTTTGCAAAGGATGTGAATTCAGTATAGTCCCATCCAAGATCACTCTTTTTTAAAGTCCACTTAAATTTACAAGGCTGCAAACTTTTGAGATCTGTTTAGAGCTCAGCTGTTTGTTCAAGGTGTCCAAAAACAAGGAAAAAAATTTGCCAAATCTATACTGTAATATAAGGAAGACAAATTAAGTGYTCAAAAATAACCATAACTTCTATATTCTAAAACTTTCTGTATGTCTCTGAAGGCATCAGATATCCCCACCAACCGTTTGCTACGGTATAATCCGTAAATAAAGTACACAAAATATGACAATTTTATTCTGAATAAACTGCAGTGTGTCTACCAGTCTCTCTAACTTTTTACAGTAGTTTTTTTTTAATACACCAAGGCATGTCCGCGCGTACAGAAGCCGTGTTTGTGTAACTAGAAGCAATCCCGAGGACGCGGCAGCAGCGCGGGCCCGCAGAGCTCCGCGGGCAGACCGCGGCTGCCGAGAGCCGCTGCTCCCCCGCGCTRCCGGGGGAAGCCAAATCTCACCGTTTAATTTTTCGCGCCTAATGAGAATCTCCCACAGCAAACCTCTCTGCAAGCTCAGCGGCCTCCCAGGCGAGGGGAGCGCTCAGGCAGAGTACCGAGCTGCCGGAAGGGCTGCTGCGGAGGGACCCGCGGCAACCCCGGGCACACGGCAGCCTCTCCCAGCCCTGCTCTCCGGCAGCAGCCACCCACCCCACGAGAGCGCAAAGCACCGCGGACCCTTTTCCGCCCGACATCCGTGCCCACCGCCCAGCCTGCACCGCCGCCGCAGGCGGAGCCCGGCCCCRGCCCCCCCGCCTCACCAGGCACTGCCGCCGGGCCGCGCACCGCCTCCCGCACAAAATGGCGATGGCCGCTCCCGCCCA